AAGGATCAACAGAAACGGACTTCTATTCTTTCAAAAATCACGTGCAAAAATGGTGGTTATAGGCTTCGCGCACCATACAGAATTGTTCTTTTAAAAAAAATATGGGCTTCAAATTTATTTATTATAATTCAACATGCAATATTTCAGTTGTCTTGGGTTCAATGGCTCCTGTTGTTGTTTCAGTGTCAGATGATATTGTAACATTTGAAGTCTCCTGAGTTATTGAATCAGTTGTTGTACTGTATGTCTTGGCATATTCTGTACTTTCATCAGTGGCATTGATTATTGTTGTGGTGGCAATGGTGGTTGTAGAGCTTTTTACTGTTGATGATTTTTTCACCAAGTTTGAAAATTCACGGTTAATTTCTTTTGCTTTCTTTTGTACATCATCTGTAGTGAAAACAGGGTCAATGTGGGGGGCAGTTTTTTCTTGCTCTGCCAACTTTTCATTAAGCCAATTTTCAACTTTATCACAAACATTTAATAGCTTATCAATATTTTCATCAGTATAATGCGTTATTTTAGGAATTAAGTTAGCTCTTCTTTGTCGTACAAATCCACATCTTTTGTCAATAAGTGATTTAAGTGAAGAAATTGCACCAGGACGTTTAATAAACTCTCCTTTTCTAAATAAGAATGGTTTCTCTAATAATCTAAATAATAGCATTTTTTATTTTTTGTTAAAAATTAAAATTTTGTTCATATATAATATTTGTCATCTAAATTAATAATTGTTTACCTTAAACCGTCAAGACGTGAATGAAATTCATCAATTGATGCATTTTCACCTTCTCCATACAGCCATTCCGATGTTTCAGATAACCTTTTTAATAGTTCTGAACGTTGCTCATCAGTGCTAACTTTTTTAACAATTGGATCATCAAGAAACTTTTGTGATTTGTAAACATAAGACTCCAAATGATTCTTTGCTTCTTCACAAGCATGACGTTCATGATCAGCCTTTCCCATGGCAGTTAATCTAGATAATATTTTATTATAATTGTCATTATTTGTTTATAAAAATTAGATATTTGATTAACTTATGGAGAATATATAAGTATACCGTTGAATTGAATTAAGCTTCTCTTTTTCTCCTAAAGGCTTAACATCAACATCACCAACATTATCAACATCAACATTTTTACCATCTTCATTAATGTCTGTGACGTTTACTTCTTTAACTTTAAACTGATGAATCAATCCAGCACCTCTAAAACCAGCACCTATAAAATATGGTAATAAATAAATACATGCACATATAAATAAATAAAACGTAAAAAAAAAATTATTTTGCGTACCTAAAACAGCCGCTTCATCTCCATTAAGATTTTGTGCAATTTTATTTCTGATAAGGAATATAAAAACTATATATTTTAATTGATTATTTTTAAGGAAAAAGAACCAAAATATTTAATACTTACTCTCCAACAAGCCTTTTAAGCATATTTTGAACAGCTGGTACACGGATACCACCACCAACTAACACACAAGATTTTATATCAGGCTATGACAAATTATATAAAAGTATATAATTAAGTCTATATAATAATCAAAAATAATAATCAAAATAATAATCAAAATAATAATCAGGATAAATACCAATGTCAAATTAGCCTTATTCAATGCTGTGGTATAAGGAGCTTCAACATACTTGATCAAATCATCTGTAATAGCTTCAAATTCTTTTCTTGAAATTGTAATTCTAAAATCTTTTTCTTCATGTAAATTTTCTATCTTTATAATTTGTATTAAATTTATTTAGACATGTAATCCAGCAATTTCAGCAGCATCCAAAATGGCTTGTCTTTCAAATTGATTATAATATGGTGGGACCTTGGTTTAATGTGATATACATTATTAAATAAAGATTTTTATTTTACAATTAAAAAATATAAATAAAAAAAATTATGGTAACTTACAGTAATAATGCTATCTTTAACTTCTTCTTGTGCAGTGACTTTAGCTTGCTCTTTAGCATAAGATAATTGCATTGCAACCAATTCCTCAACTGAAAATGTTGTTGTTTCATTATGTTGAAATAAAACAGTTCCTCTTATCGGATCTTTTATTATTTTATTAAAAAAGTGTGATTGATATTCTTGTACATACTTATCATCTGCTAATCTTCCAAGAAGCCTTTTAAGACTAAAGTAAGTATTACTCGGAAATCTTGTCCCCTATATAAATTATTGATTTGACTGACATTAATAAAAGTCGGAAAATGTTTATTTTGAAAAATTTATTTGATGTTGTTGAAAATATAGTTGCTTAATAAACGATCTATGCTCACAATATTAGCAGCATCAGTGCCATATAATCTTTTTTCGCCGCGAATTGTTATAACCGACTGTGTTTTTCTTTTAGAATCTCTGTTTAATACAATATCGAGCGGAACTCCCGGTTTTACTAATGAAACTTTAAACCAATCAGTTCCGTAATCAATACCAATGACAGCGACAGCTTCAATTGTTGATAATGAATCAAGTATCCATAATGTGAAAAAAGCAAAAACAAATAAAAACCGTTTTTTTATCATTTTGTTTAAAAAAAACTCACGTTGGGGAAAAAAAAAAAATATTGTTGCGTTGTTAAATTGTTATTGGATGATGGGAAAATTTTCTATCTGCTAAACCAAGATTGTGTATTATTTTTAAATTTTTTTAATTGATAAAGGATATTATTTAGTGACGTTGGCCGAAACTATTTTTGAAAAAAAGGTAGTTTCGCCCAATACACATATAATAAGTCTCTAAATCAATCTACTTTATTTTAAAAAAAATAATTTTGCATTAAAATTAGTAGGCCAATTAATTTCGGCAATTTCGGCCCACTAAGATAGTTTTGGCCACCATCATTAATATTATTATTGTTATTGATAACAATAATGATAACTAACGCAATAACAATAAAATTTACAATTGCACAAATTCATTAAATCTAAATAATAAATATAACTAATGAATGATAGTGATTGCTATAGATTCAAATCAGTTTGAATCAAATCAAATCAAATCAAATCGAACCAGGGCACAATTCGAATTTCACTAGAGGTCTGCATGGATAACAATAATTGAACCTATATCCAACTCATACCCGCATGATTCAAAACCCTATAGGAATAAGAGAATCTCCTACTCCAGCATCACCATAAATATCACTCCATTGTTTCTATCTTGCCAGATAACTATTTAACTTTTAGATAAAATAATAGTTTTTTTAATTTATATATATATTTTTTACAAAGCTCTAAATTTCAAATATTTCCTGTAAAGTATCTTCAAAATAATATTTTTATTCAATAAATGAAGATGAGCATGAGTTGTTCTCACATCATCTGTGCAGTGAGTTTCTTTATAATCACCGCTATCATCATCTTTAATGATTTTTTTCCAAAATTGATCAACTTTTTGTTAATGGTATTTATTAAAACGAAATTCCCATCAATTAATTGTTTTTCCTTTATAAAAAGAACCAAAAAAGTCCCTTTAATAAAAAAACTGATATACAAATTTCCAGATCTTTTTAACATAAAAAATTTATCAGTCACGACTAAAGAGTATTCCGATTATTTAGAAATGCTTGTGATGTGACTTTTGAAAACAAAATTTGAGTTGGTTAAAAATTGTAAACAGGAATCACATTCAATTGTTGATGACACAGTTGAACAATCCGAGATATATAATAATGACGAGGTTGTTTCTAACAATGAAATATTAGTTTATTTGAGTAAACTTTTAAAACGTGCTATAACTAATAAACTAATAAAACTGCAATAGAGGAAACTAAACCCAAAATTAAACTCTCAAGGATGACAAAGATTTATAATGAATGAATTAACGGAATTTAATAGTGAAAGTATTGATGTCACAACTTGAAAGATGCTGAACCTAAAACATAGTTTTAAATGTAATGTCAACAACTGCTTTTATCATAAGTGGAATTTGCCTAACAATCGCCATACCTGCTGCAGGAACAGCAATAGCAGGTGCAAATGTAGTAGTATCAACAGTAGCAGTAGCAGCAGAAGTAGCAGCAGAAACAGGAACAGTACTAGTAATAGGAGCAGGAGGGGCAGGATTAATGAAAACTGCTGCTGAAAAAATAAAGCTTCCGAATTACGGGAAACTTTAAATATGAGACAGGAACAAATGATTGATAAATCAAAAAAGTTTACAAATTAACATTTCCTCAATAATTCCAATTTTAAATTATCTCAAAGATTTCTGGAAGACACATATTACTGAATTAGAAAGACTTATTGAGCAATTTAAAAGTTTAAATGGCATTGATCTCGTTCTAATAAATTAATTGAAAAATGATGGAAGGAAACAATTGAAGGATGGATGATAAGAATGATATGTTTCAATTAGAATAAAATAACCAATTGTATGCACACTTTGTTCTTGTTGTCAGGTAAGCCTGACATATTACTGGCAGAAATAAATTTTTTTTTCTTTAATTCAAATATATTCTTATAAACTGATTGTATCACATGATTATAATATAAAGTTGCAAAAATAAGTTTGTTTATTTCTGCCAGCGATTACATAAGACCTGGCCTGATAAAAATTATTATTTGTACATCTCACAGAAAATTTATTTAGAAATTTAGAATAATATATTTTTGTCGTATTTTAAACCCTTTAATAATAATAATAATAATAATAAAATAAAAAGTGTTACAGCATAATTTTACACAAGATTGGCCAATAAAATTGATACAGAATTTATTCTCTGATAAAATAATCATGGCAGAAAAACTAGATAAAACCCAGGTTAAGAAGGTAATTAACATTTTTTGTCTTTGAAACACAAATCTATATATTTCATATGAAATATATATGAACATGAATATACTGGTTTCAATTGTTGTTGTAGATTTTTAACAAGTTTGACTATAATGGAAATGGCATCCTATCACTTGCTGAAATTGATAAAGCTGTAATTGAACTCTACCCGCATTTTGCAAAAGATAAGCCTGCCATTATGCGAGCTTACAAAGCTACTGACGTTTCAAAGGTTTGTTTGTGTTATGTAAAACGCCTTTCAATTTACATATTGTAAAGTTTTTACATCTCTAGCACATTAAATCTCCTATCAGGACGGATTTGTTGACTTGAGTGAATTTGGCAATCTCCTTGATCTTCTTTATTACTATGATGATCTATACAAACAGTTTCAGAAACTTGACAAAAACAAAGACAAACGTATCAGTTATGCAGAGTTCAAGAAAGGACATGAGCTTGTTGGGATAAATGCGAATTCCGATGAAGAGCTTAAGGCAGAATTTGATAAAATTGATACGAATCATGGAGGTTATATCCTCTTTGAAGAGGTAAAGTGAAATCTCTTTTTTTTTTTTGATTATTAATGAGAAATTTTGGTGCACTTGAGGCTAATCATTACATCAAACTTTTACTTTATCTCTTCAGTTTTGCATTTTTGTTTCTAAAAAAAAATTGCATGATGGAAAGTAGTAGACATAATTTGTGTTTATTACAATATTAGTATTAAATAATATATTATATACAGTATGTACAAATTTGTATCTAAGCAAGATATTTATAATAAATTTATTTAAAGCTTCGATATTCAAATTCAGCAAACATTTTTGTTTGTGGGAATCATGTCATCACTTGATATTTATGCATTATTAATATTAATATCTTATTGTTTGAAAAAATTTTTTTTTTGTACTTGCCTCTAATAAAAATAATTTTTAATATAAAGTTTTTGAAGGACTAATTTATATAAGCCTCATATTCTAAAAAATGAACTTTCTTATTATTATCTCCAAGATTAAATTATTCTGATAAGAATTATAAAAAAAACAATAAAAATAATAAAGTACATTGTTAATACTGTTAAATAGTGTCAAACCACAAACATTTATAAATATTAATAGTTTACTATTATGATATATCACATATTCAGATCTTTTGACTCTATTTAATATTAAATCATCAAGTTGATTTCCGTCAATTTTATTTAAAAAAAACCTGTTTATCCAATATCCTTCATTCACAGGCATTTTTTTTATATTCCAATAAACAGGATTATAAACTCATCTGTTTCTTTGATTTTAATAATTGCTACTTTATATTCAATGTCATGACATTTTCCTCAAATATTGATCTTGAGGATTAACCCCAAGGTACTTTGAAAAACTAATTGAATTTATAATATAACCCATTTTTGTTATATATATAGATATCTTTTTCAAATCAATCTAACTATAATTAAACATTTCATTCCATTTCAGTTTTTCTTTGCTATCCTTGATAACATATAGTTGTATATAGTGATTTTAATTTAGTTTGCCAGATTTGGTGACTCCAATAACTCAGATCACATGCTTACAATATTTATTACAGTTTTATGGTTTATGGCTTTAATGACTTTAGGGTGTCTTGCTGAATTTATTTGTGTAATGCTGAATAATTGTAATCCAGGTAAAATTTAATTTTTTAACAGAAAATCTGAATATATTAATATTTTGTGTGTGATACATATTTGTGGCTGAAAAAATGTTCTTTAAAAAAATATTTTTTTAGATAAATATAATAAAAAACCATGATGGAAAACACTTTGGATGAAAATAAACATCAATATGATACTTCTACTGACAAAAATGATGAATATTCAAAGAAAAGAGATGAAAAATATGGGGAGTGTCCAACATGCAAATAGATATAATACTTATTGGGAATGGTGTCAATCATGTGACCCAAAGCTGTTAACTGAAGGATGGGCTAGTGGTAATAAGACATTAGATGAATTGATTAAAAGTACACAACTTAAAGCAGCTCAATATGAAAGTTCTTATTATCTTCAATGGATTCCTTATAATGATTTAACAAATATTGAAAAGATAGGTGAAGGTGGTTTTGCAACTATATACAAAAGTTACTTGGTTAAATGGTGTGAAATATATAAATGGTTATGATGAAAGAACTAGTGAAGATAGGACTGTAGCACTAGAAAAAGTACATAATTCACAGAATATTTCTGAAATTTGATATAATTTTTTTTATATAGTTTAGAAATTATGTTACATTTTATAATGAATCATTTATAAATAAACTTTATGGATTAACAAAAGATCCCATTTACAAAAGAATATATCTTTGTAATGGAATACATGAAAGATCTTCAAGATTATGAAGATCCATATATTAGAAAAGAAGAATATGGGGAATGTCTAAATATAGTACTGATTATTCATGGTGCCAATCATGTGATCCAAAGCTGTTGACTGAAGGATGGACTAATGGCAATGAAACATTAGATGAATTGATTAAAAGTACACAACTTAAAGCAACTAAATATCATTATAATAATCATCTTCAATGGATTCTTTATAATGATTTAACAAATATTGAAAAGATAGGTGAAGGTGGGTTATTATTTATTTCTAAAATGAGTCATTGAGATTATCATTCCATGACTTAATATTTATTGATCATAGATCAATTATTTTTAGAAAAATTATTTATAATTACTATAAATTATAGTCTTGAGACTTGAGATTTAATGATCATTCTAAAACAGATAAACAAGTGAATAAAAAGAAATTATTCTGAAGAAATTATTGCTTTGCATCAATTATACTAAAACAGTAAAATATTAATGTTAATAAAGATTTACATTAAAAAAAATTTTTTTTATACATTTAAAAATAATATCATTTCAAATAAAACTTTTAAATAAATTGACTACCACTTGTGTGATAGATAAAAATAAACATGACTTAGCTATTTAATCATTTCCTTGTATGTGAATGCCTCCATCCATCAAATATTCATGATTGTCATGATGATTATTCTTCAATACATTTGATGTTATAATTGACATAACAAACAATTGCATCACCCAAGTAGTAATAACACCAAGGCCATGCATAAATGAAATTTTTTAAGGAACCCCAATTTTTCAAACAATAATGTGTGCATCTACCCCAAATCCACAAAAAATAAATGAATAAATGAACAGGAGAACGTACTGGGAACACAAAATTAACAGGAGGGAACACAAAAATTTAACCCATGCAATTTTGTTGATTGACCAATTA